AGACGACGTAAAAGGCTTCAGAACAAGGCAGCCACAAGCAGTTCGCCACAATCCGTAGCACCTTATTCATGGAAGGAAGGCTGTATTACGACACCCGATGGCTGCAGTGTTTGCACCAAAGTTGTTTCGGTAGTCGATGAGGCATTTGCATGCAACCTATGTCAACGATGGGCGCATTGCCACTGCGATACCAAAGTCCCCCGACAATACTATAAGCTGATGAAGAGACAACCATGCAAGTGGTTCTGGTACATCTGTCCAGAGTGCAGGAAAATGCCCGCACTCCGCACAGAAAGCCTGAAGGAGATGCTCTCCGCCACGCAAAAGCTACCAGCATCCTCGAATAAAGTAGGGTTAACACCAAAGGATAACACAGAGAGACCTGGAAACAGACCTAGAGCTCCAGCTGTGGGCACGCCACCTCGCGTGGGGACCATATTAGGTCAAGTCTCCATACCCCTACCCGGCCCCAGGGGACGTCAAGCGCATGGCCAAAGACATCGACCGCCGAAGCCTCTACGAAACCCATTCCGAACACCCCACACACCGTGACTGAGAAACAACCAGTGGAATTACTCAAACCCATTGGGAAGTCGGGCGTGCCACCCACAACGAACCCAGGTCACAGGAGGACCAACTCGATCATTTTGTTCAACGTCGATGTATCGACAGACTCATTGTTGGTCGAGAGGGAACAATTTGACAGCCGAATGTGGACCGACTACTGTCAGATGCTGGGACTCCCTCCCCTCCCTGCAACTTTATGTCGCCTTTCTCGAGGAAGCCATGCACCCCGAGATAAGCCACCCCCTTTACGTGTGTCCCTAAATACCGCCAAAGAGGCTGAAGACACACTCCTCCTCTCGCGACAACCGGACGTTGTTAATGCCTGTAAAATTCGGGCCAGGCCTGACAAGCCATGGTCAATAAGAGAGGAGGAGAGAAAGTCAGCGGTTGGAAATCCCAACAGAAACAACACTATAGTTGTACATGGGATTCCAGAATTGCCAAGTGACAGCTCGGTCAAAGATCGGTACTTTCACGACGTCCAACAATGGCAATGGCTCTCAACCAAAGTTGGTCTCAACAGTATACCGGCCAACAGCGTCAGTAGACTGCCAAGGCCAGCGCACCTGAAGACCATACCCAATCCCAGACTACTTGCCGTCCAGTTCGACTCATATGCCTCCCTCACAGACGTTCTGCACGCATGGTATAATGCGAAGGATCGCATGGGTGGCTCAATACGTATATGTGAAAGTAAGCCTAGACCCACAAGGCAAGAGGAGAGACGGCAACCACCAAGACCTCTGGAGTCAGTGGTCGTCACACAGGCGCTGACCAGTGAGTTAGATACATCAAGTAAAGAAGCCACCACTGCTACAGCCCCCACCCAAGTTAAGAACAAAACACAAAAAACGGAACAATGCCAGTCCTATGAGGACTGGCGAGGCTAAACCAACCACGTAAGCGCTCATCCTGCGAAAATACACATCCAGACCTCCCCCTCATCAGGCACACTCTAATATGTATGTACAGCAACGTTAGGGGGCTAATAGGGAAGGTAGCAAAAATGAGGACGCTGCGTGAACATCAGCACTCGACATCATATTCATCACCGAATCCTGGCTCTCATCGGACATCTCCGACGAAGAGATGCGTGTTGCTGGCATGGAACTCTTCCGCAGGGACAGGGAACATAGAGCAGGAGGGGGAGTGGCTATCTACGCAAACTCCTGTTTAAAGGCAAGGATGGTTAGCGATACGGCCTTAACCCAGCTCCCAGAGTCTCTATGGTGCTACTTCACTCTCTTCTTTATTCTCTCTTCATTCCTTTACCACTACCTTACTATTCTCTTTCAGGTACCTACACAGACAGGAGTCATGGCAGTTCTCTAAACTTCCCAGCAACCCGTAGCTCCCTAATCACTCTACAAATTACAACCTACTAACCCACAAAACATCCACCTCACCGAAGCTAAAAGCAAGAAAGCAGAGGGATTTCCTCGTCCACTGCAGGAGTAAACCGAACAACTGGAACCAAGCCCTAAGAACTAGACGCGAGAGATCAAAAACTACCAGTTTTCTACGCTCGCACTATCAATATTGGATATCCTGGAGAGACTAAACGATGCGCTGGATTCAAAATACAACCGGAAGAGGCTGGCCTCGGGAAGAACAAGTCATGTGCGGATCAAACTGCAACACTACACATCATCACTGAACAGAGTATAGAATGGCAGGTAACTCTCTACCTCAACTTCATCGACTTTGAAAAGACCTTCGACAGCGTCGACCGAGAAGCAATTTGGCAGGCAGCTGCTTCAACACTACGGTTTCAGTGCCACAAATCTTTATCAACCTCATTCAACAGCTATGTGGAGAAGCCACATGTCAAGTGATCCACAATGGAAAGCTCAGTGACGCCTTTGAAGTGAAGACAGGAAGAAGTAAGACAAGGCTGTCTGCTATCACCCATGATCTTCTTGATTGTGGCCAACTGGATCATGCAGCAAACTGTGAGTAGCGAGAAGATGGGCATACGCTGTTTGACCGATGAGAAGACCTTGGAAGATTTGGATTTCGCCGATGATGATTTATGTCTAATGCCTTATGCGCACAAACTCGAAGATCTACAGACGAAAACTAACAAGCTGACAGAAGGGGCAGCGAAGACGGGACTTCAAGTGAATGTAGAGAAGACGGAGGTGATGAAGATTCCCAACCAACAACAGCATCAACAACAAGCACCAATCACCGTTAACGGGAGAAATCCAAAGGAAGTAGTCTCTTTCACCTACCTGGCTTGGCAGCATCCTTTCAACTACAGGCGGTGGTGGCACAGACGAGGATGTCAAAACGAGGATCGGACAAGCAAGATAGGCTTCCACGAATCTGAAATCAGTGTGGGGATCTACTGCACTCCGCTCAGCACAAAGAACAAGACCCGGACCTCCAACACTAATGTTAAGCCAGCGCTTCTGTATGGTTGAGTGACTTGGCACGTTACGAACATCGTTTCCATCAAACTACAGACATTCATCAACAGCTGCTGCCCACGCTGACTCGATACTGAATATCAGATCACATGGTAAGAATAATAAGAATCAGGAGCAAGGAACCCACACCGGCTGGCATCTAACCAACCAGGAACCTATCACGCAACAAATATGCAGAGGAAAGTGGAGATGAATTGGGCATATTCTGAGAAGGCCGATTGGGGATATCACGTACCGGCCCAGGCTGTCGAGTGAGATCCATATTAGAAACAATGAGTTGGGCTTCCGAGGTGAGGGTGGCACGGAGGAGATCGTGTGGGGGAGAAATGAAAGCTTGTGTGCAGTAGTGGCGCCAGTTTCAAAACGCTGCAGAGAAGAGAATGCAGTGGAGGCGTGCTGCTGAAGTCCTATGTTCCACTAGAAGCCCAAGGGAAAAAATTATGATGATGAATAAATATAATCGGAGAAATTTTATCGATAATCAATTTTATTGAAGTCAAAATTACCATTTAGTTTTACTCCTGTGTAGTACTTATTGAACCCTAGAATTTCAAAATAATATGATCCTCCTGATAACTTGGCTATTGATTTCTGAATGAAAGCTTATGAAACAGAATAAAAACTATAACTAGAATTCGGTAGGTGGCGTTTATTAGGAACTATATTTTGAGGCTGACAACAAGCGAGATTGTATGAATATGACAATCTACAACGAGCGTTTATTACGTCATTGGGATGCGATATGAAAATACATGGGTGCAACCCTGTAAATGATCTTATTTGAACTGTTATTATTGATCAATACCCAAGAAAACGAGACCATCAGCATAGAGACTAATGAAGTCTACTCAGATAGAAAACCAATTAAGTGTTGATTGGGTTATACAGCTATTCTGGTTGGTGAGGAGTGTGTAGGAATAGTATAAAGAAGCATGACAGACATCCATGTAACCCTGGTACCTAAGAAGGTTGTTCTACTTGACAACCGGATATTCGTTTGAATCAACACTAAATAAATGCAATAAGAGTAAATCTCCACCTGTTTGCGATGTAACAAATTCTACTACCCCTATCACAAAGGAGCAAAAGAGAATCAGAAATATCCTTTTGTCAAAGTTGTGGAGTTGACTGATAATGATGCGGACAATAAGTTATCTCCGAAACGTTATCCAATGAATAATACTTTTTCACTGAATGATACATCTAATAAACAATGTGAGACAGAATTACAATCTACCACAGTGCTCAAGTTTTACTCCTATATTAGTGGGTTCAATCCTGTCAGTTCACTGAAATGAAAAATTCCGGTGGGGAAAACTATACATCTACCAGTTCATGCTTTTTTCATTTTTGATGGTTATAACCAGCAATTCTAACATGGTCAGCCTGAAATTCAAAGCTTTTGAAGTATATTTCCACAAGGAAAAATGTACTACTTCTAATAAAATGACATTTAGACTTTTTATTGAATGAGATGAAGTTAAAACTCATTCATATATTCAATATTGCACTTTTGATCATTTCCGTGGTATAGCTATGGCGTGACTAGCAGGAGGAACGGCGGAATTATTTTGATTTAACACGCAGGGATTTCTACAAATCACATATGTAATGACAACTTTCCACGCGCTACCCAATACTTCTGAAGCACTGATCAAATCCTGAAATTAACTCTAAAGAATACTGAAATCAGCTCCCACTAAGTGAAAAACACTCAGACACCATCTTAGTATTCCGGCGAAGCTCAACATCTCGGAACAAAATTACGAAAAAAACCTAACCGGTTTGAGTTAAAAAGTGTTGTCGTATAAAGGCAAACGGCATCTTACGAGAGAGTGATTTGAAATAAAATAGACCGTAATCAGTACATCACGTGTTAAAATGACTAATCGATATAAAATCGACAAAACACTGAATTTTAGTGGTTGGATATTTGTTTAACTTATCCACTAATTCCAATTCTATTGGTCAAAAATTGGCTTCATTTTCTGAGAGATTCAAAAGCAAAATTGAATCAAATCCACTTCTCGTCAAGGTGTGTCAAGGATGTCTGGACGAGGTAAGGGTGGCAAGGGTTTAGGCAAAGGAGGGGCAAAACGACATCGCAAAGTCCTACGCGACAACATCCAGGGGATCACAAAACCGGCCATCCGACGTTTGGCCCGTCGTGGTGGTGTCAAGCGTATATCTGGACTTATCTACGAAGAAACTCGTGGAGTGTTGAAAGTATTTTTGGAAAATGTTATTCGTGACGCAGTTACTTACACTGAACACGCCAAGCGAAAGACAGTGACGGCAATGGATGTTGTATATGCTCTGAAACGCCAAGGTCGCACTTTATATGGTTTTGGTGGTTAGTTTCTTGGGCTTCAATACGAGAACGGTTAACGGCTCTTTCAAGGGCCAACACTGATTGATGTACATATTAATTTTTCATTTATTAACATGCAAAATGTCTACTATGGTGGCACTTTTTCTCTTTTTGTAACCAATTAATGTCGTCATGCCAACCTCAGACCTTAGGGTGGGTTTGAATTGGGACCGAACATTTATGATGTAACTAGTTGAGAGTTTTTAGCTGCAGTTGCTCGATTGTGGTTCTTATGCGCATGGAGGTAATGCTCAGAGACGTTAGGATATTTGGGTACTGATCGTCACACACGTTCCACTTCTATTTTAATTCCCTCAACTGGTCTGTGTTCACACTATGCGTTTCTTCCTGCTGTTTCCATTTTCCAGACGAGTGGTTTGTTGTTGTATGCACTTAGCATTAATGGATCCTCGCCTGATGTAGAGGAGAAGTCGCTACACTTATCATTGAGTTTCATTTGATCAGTCGATGTTCAGTGATTCGAGACGGCCTAGGGGTTGATTAACTAGGCGTTAGCTAGTGGACAAACATGAAGTATGAGTTCGTTTGCTTCACTGAAGTGTTCTGAGGCGTCATACTTGGGGTTCTGGACTATAAGTCCTCTTATTGGTACCAGCTAGGGGTCTGTACTGCCTCTTGAGATGCAAACTACTACCTCATGGATCACTTTGATCTTAGTCACTGGAGTTGGCGTGGACCTGGGTGCGAATCACGCTCCGATTCATAACACCCAGCAATTGGCATGGTCGCCAATATGTGCAGTTTTGAGCAGATGGTGTTACGAAGTCAACGGTCGCGAAGCGCACCTTGTCAGGGTCCTCACCTAACAGGATTATGTCATCTGCATACTCTATATCTACCAAGGGTTCTCCTGTGATAAAATCAATCCCTATGAAATCAGACAACGGAGGAACGACCTCCATAGACACGTCTATGATGAAGTTGAATAAGAATGGAGAGAGCGGACATCACTTGATATTTACAAATCACTGGGGTACCTCGGAATTACCAGCTGTGTGTTAAGTCACTGTGACGTGGATTTCGAACTGGGGTTCTGCCAGTAATGTAAGCAGCGAAGGCCAGTCGGTACTTTGGTGTCCGCACCACTTTTCTTGGCCACTAAACCGTTATCCGTTTTGCGGCTTCGTAGACAAGTGGGATGGTGATCGTGCCTGAACGTTAGACTGCATGGAATATAGGATGCTTGAGTTGATCTTTAATTACTTGATAGTGTCCTAAGGAAGGTGATTTCACCGTTCTCGCGGCACTTGTGGTTTAGAAGACTTTAGAGAAAGAAGTGGGAGTTGAGGCTGCAAGTGTGCTGACAAAAGTTAATATTTAAGTTAAATGGAAAATGAGGGTCGGAGATTCTATGCGGACTTTTCGTGACGGCCTAGTATTTCACTTAAGGAAAAGGGTTGACGCCACTAATTTGGTCACTGAATGTCTTCCCTGATCATGTTATGCAATTGAGAGCATCCTACTGAAGTTCATACAACTGCGTAAGGATTCAAAGGTTTTCCATGCTGAGGAAAACTAAATAGTTTATTCATCAGTAAAATCTACTGTGTCCGGTACTACCATTTTTATAGATACTTCAGGCTGCTTCTACCTTGCGATAGCCCAGTTAACTGGACGTCAGTAATTACTTACGTCCTGGCCAGTAATTTGCTAGTTGACTTTCTCATGTTGGCGTAATTATGTTAGGAGAAATATGGGTACCTCAGATGTTTCGGGCAAGACTGACTTTTCTGAATGTCTTTGCATGTAGCGGGTACTCTGAGTAGGAAGTTCCATCCAAATCAACATAGGACCAGGCATTACTGCGTAACGGTCCGAGTTGCCACACCAGTACATCAAGTAAGAAGGCAGGGAAGTGGAACATAAAGAAAATCCGGTCGAAAGGAATATAAAGTACTGAATGAGAGAAAAGATGGTGAGGTTTGGTATAGCGTTAAGATGAGGATAATGTGTGTATACATCTGTGCTACTGATATTGGTTCTGAGCCATATCACCTAGTCTCCAACCACTGGTTTCTTCTCTTCCGTGGACCCCAACCGGTTAGTTTGCATCGCCACACATGGCTCAAAGCAACACTCAGAGACTTCATACACTGGTGCCATGTTTTAGTCTGGCCACCTCGGGTCTTTTCCCAGCCTAAACCTACTTTGGCCAACATTGTGTGACGAGGCAATCAGCAACTAGTCATACGTACCACATGTCCCAACCATATCAGGCGATGGAGGTTCACAACCGTGTAAACTGACTTACCTCTTCTCCCTAAAACTACGCCTGACTTCTGCGTTACTCATGTAGTGATATCACGGAATATGGCCTATACTACGAAGACAACGGTGGCCAAATACCTGAACCTTTCTCATATCTTCCACTTTCAGTGGTCATGTTTCACAGGCATGCAGTAGGACGGAGCGGATTGCTGTGCAGTACACACGATCCTTAATCGACAATCGGATGTCACGGCGGCGCCACAGGTGGTGACCGATAGCTGCTGCCTTGACGTGGTGGTCGAGCTTGCGTATCACAATGACCCAACGCGCTGTGCTGGTGGGGCACTTGTTCCCTCGAGGTCCTACCACACCGGAAAGGTCTGTTGGGTAGTGTTTAGACTAAAAGCCATTACCGTTGTGGTGTTAATTGCTACGCTATGATGGAGGTCTGAGGGTTATCTCGCACTGTTACTAGCCGGATGAGGTCTGACAGCAGTAAGGTGTTTCCCTTGGATAACCAGCAGTTCCATGCTGATGCTGCCTTCTCAGTGGAAGGGGCGGTTAGAAATGGTGGACCTTCAAAATACCCATGGTCTGCCGGGACGGCGGTGTTGGTTCATTTGTCGTATGTCTTCGACCATCTATCCCCAAAACAACGTTACACAAAAGGCTGCATGTGACAGGCCTTAAGCAGATGTCCGATGGGCTTTGTGGTCACACAAATCTCTTTCAGATACCTTAAGAAGAAATAGCCTTCCACGGTATTGGCAGCCGGGAGGTGTCAACCACCCTCACAACTCTGCCAGCATTCGGGTTCCTTCAGACTGCTATCCACTCCCCCCATCATTGCCTTCTAATCTTCTTTCGTGTCTCTCAATTAACGATACTACATCATCAATTTCTCCTAGCTCTGCAGCTTTCGACAACTATCCGAGTCCATAGAACAGCATCCTTGGTCTCCTTAAACCGCGCTCTAAATTATACATTCGAGCCTTTAATGTCTGCACCCTCCGTCAAGTTGATCAATAGGCTTAATTGGCCAAGACTAGCAACTCGGGCCATGGATGTGTGCTGTGTCTGTGAGACTCGCATGCAGGACCCAGGTGCGGTTATTCACCTGACCTCTCCCGGAAGTTCCATCAGTCCTAACTATATGGCTGGTGACCGAAACTAAGTACGAATACATGGGATTCGTTCTGCTTACATTTACAAACTCCACTTGTACTGCTGGCGTAGGATACTTGGTTGTCAGCTAGCTAAGATAATGCGTGCCAGGCCGATAGCTGCTACCTCGAAGTTATGGTCGAGCTTGCTGTACCGCAATGACCCACCGAGTTGCACTAAATGGAACTCTTGTTCTCTCGATATTATACTATGCCATAAAGGTCTACTTGATGATAAGACGAAAAGCAGTTACAGTATTGTTGTTAGCTGCCATGCTATGATGGTGGTCCGAGGTCGAAGCTGCATTGCTGCCTGGACAGGGGAGTGGTGTCTCGCGCTAGTGGTCAGCAACACCATGTTCATACTGCCATCTTGATAGGAAGAGAGGACTAGAGAAGGTAGGTACCATAATTAGCACACCCCTACCCATCCCATGGTGTCTCGGCTCCGACATAATGAGTTTCTTCTAATTAAGTGTTAAAACGGCCAAATCATATACGCATTCCTGAGAAGGCCGTATGACAGCCCTCAAGGAGATATCATTTGAGATCTGCGGTCACACTAACTTTTTTCTCCACGTACTCTTCAGAAATTAGGCTACAAACTACTCTGTAGTGGCCGACTATGTTTAGACTTTTTGCAAGCTATTTTAAGACACTGAGCTACAGCTTGTTAGCACTCAAGCTCCTTCAGATGACTATCAACCTTCGACATGTTTTCCTTCTAGTCTCCATTCAGCTCTCCCGGGCAATATACCCACTACATCTCCAATTTCTCTCAGTTCTGCAGTTCCTGGTAATCATCTGAGTTAGCAGCATGATATATGTACTGAAACCACGATGCAAATCACATGTTGGAGCTTTCAATATCCACACCCTCCATCAAATTGGCAGACAAGCTTCGCTAGTTACAACCCCGCCATCTTGGACCATGGGCGTGTGCTATATCACACTAAGGGCAGGTAGCGTGTACTGCGCAACATTCAGATTTGTTCTCTAACGGGGAAATGCCACTGAAGATGGCGACATCAGAAGGCCTCAGTTGTTCAACGCTGCTGTCTAATTAGCACTGACTAGGAGTTGTGCACCAATCCGTTAATAGGACATAGTCTCCGGTAATATATGTAAGTCAGTTGATACGATTGTGAACCTTCATCAACTCACATATCTGGGACATAGGTTGCGCAGTCGCTCTCTACCTCGTCTCACTGTTTGACGGACAGTAACATGGGATTACACATTACTGTGTGATGGTCTAGGTCGCCACACTTCATATCGGCACATCAAGCGAGAATGCGCTATGAAAGATAAGGAAACGAAGAAGAGAGCAGTAAAAAGTAGTAGACAGTCGTGATAAGATAGGAAGGAGGACTAAGATAATACTGAATTTGCTATGACAATTAAGATGGTGTGTGGGTACATCTGGGCCATCGAGATCAATTATGAGCCGTGTGACACCTAGGGCGTCCAATTACAGCCTTTTGTTATCACGTGGACCCCCACCGGGAAGTCTCCGTTTCCCTATATGGCTCGGCCCAACAGTCAAAGACTTCGTCGGGAGATACAATGTTTTACTCTGGCCGCCCCTAACCTTTTTCTACCCAAGACCTACATCAACTAATATTGTGTGGCCGGACAGACGGTGACTAGGCATGCGTAGTACAAATCCCAGACATCTGAGCCCGATGAAGCTTCACAACCTCAACT